CATGTAAAAAATATATTTTACGCACATGAAGCATGTTTACAATATACTGCAAATTATGATTTAAAAAAAAAAAAAAAAACCTCTGTTAATATGCACCGAAAATATGAATAATTAAATATCCACAGCTGGAATGATTATTTTCTTTTTCTATATATTATTATTATTATTATTCCGCAATGTTCTTTCATGATTACAAATTGCATTGAATATTTTTATATTTACGTGGAAAGTGGGTGCCTGTCCCTTTAATAATATATTAAATTATTTAAATTGGCCTAATCCCATCAAATAACAGGAAAAATATTGCCAAATGATATCAATGTGTCCCTTTGTTATTCAAAAAATTATGATGTCTTCTTTTGAACAAAAATAAAGTTGAAATCACATGAAGAAACCACAGAACAACAAAGAGTTATTATTCTCGGACATGGCCTACGTGGCCCTGTCCATATAGTAGAGTGAAAGATCGTTTATGAGAATACCATATATAAATGTTTTGCAATTGAGAATTATTACTCAAAACAATGAGTTAAGAATATCAAACTATATATCTTCTAGTCAAGTCTTGCTATTTTATCTTGAAATGGCCCTTGGCCACTCGTTCAATGTTGAACATTCAAGATAAATGTTTAAACCTTTTGTCACGAGATATATTTATTTATTTAAATTTAGTTTAGAACAAGTCTTTTCACTTACGAGTCAAATTGATCTTTCATAAAAAAAATTATACTTTGCACAATTTTCAATAATTGTCTCATGAATATTCTAGATTCAATTTACAAATGAAAACGTGATACATACACAATTTTTATTAATGGCCGAAGAGGAAATTTTAGGATCTTAGTTAGGAATGTCAACAAGTCGAACTGAAACTCGAAACTCATGCTCGACTTGAGTAAAAATGGTTCAGAATTTTTTTGGCCTGAGCTGAGCCAAGCCAAACTTTTGCTCGACCAAAAAAATCTAGGCTCGACTCAAGCTTTTAGTTCGGGCCTTATCGAGCTGAGCCAACTTGTGAATTATTTATTTTTTAATGTACAAAAAGACCTAGTAGGCCATGCCTGTATTTCAAATTGCTATTTTTATCTTTTATTTTTTAAAATTAGCTCAAGCAAATGCTCCAAAATGGTGCTCGGCTAGAGCCAAAAGTCGGGCTGACTCGTGCTTTTTTTGAGTCAAACCACAGGCCGTTTGAACCGATGAGCCAAATGATATCCTAATCTTAGCCTACCCTAATCTATTTAATTATGTTGGATCTAATGTATCGAATATTATTTAATGGCCGAAAACACAATTAGCACATTGACGTTTCTCTATCAATTAATTTCATTTTAAAGATGGCGAAAGACTCGAATTTGACAGTTAAAAATTTATATTCCAAATTAAAAATAAATCAATCGGTAGGACCATTCTCAGAGAAGATGGATTTGAACAACATCAGTTGCTATAGATCTCTTTCGATCTTTTCTAGTTCGATTTATTGGTAGAATATCAAGTTGGATAAATGAATGGTCACGCTCAAAACCTGATTATGACACACTAACGCAAATTAATATATTAATACTAATAGTATTCCTTTGTTTAACGTACGATTTTGATCGATTGATATATTACAAGGTATTTCATATGGGGTAATTATATTCATGCCATAATTTTTATTTCTAGTATCATATTTTAATTGCACTTAAAATTCTTAATCTCTAATGTTTTTCATGTCATCTAATCCTTAAACTTCTATTAGTTAACGCATTTTATATTTAATAATAGTTTTGTATTCAAAAGTCCGTTAAAATGGTGTAAAGGAGCTTATTTTTCTATCATATTTTTCTTTCATTTCAAAGTATGAAAACAAAATATTTTAATATAAATAATCGTCAAGAACGAAACGTATAAATTAATGGAAAGTTGAAGATGAGAATTCAACAAAAAAGAGGTTAAGAAAATAATTACTACAATGAACAAAGATTGAAGAGTTCAATCGCAATTTAAATGTGATGCATTAATAAAAAAATCTTGATAACAATATAACTACCCTTTCATATAATATAAGCTTTTTAATATGTTACATTAATGGATATATTGATCGTTTAACGTGTGGTGAATTGTACAATTAAATTCAAGTTGCGTTGCTCTTCTCAATTAAGTGTTTTGCATATAAGTTTCAAAATTCTATTTTAGAGGACCAACGTTATGAGAAGTAACTGAGCCCTCGTTTGATTCCCATTATTTGGTCACAAAAATGAAAAATATGACTGTTATTCATTATATCAAACCACCATATTTGACTTTCTATTTCTTATGTAATTCTTACAAAAATTGGTACCAAACGAGTCTGAATAATTTTTAAGTGGGATTTATTCATCGTTACGATCATACAAGATGACGACTGATTTGAACAGGTCGATGTTAGAATTTAAGTCTGATATCTCATTCGATAAATATATCGAATTACACATATTTTATCAACGTTTCAAATATTGTATTGAATGTATCGTCCTTTGTTACGAGCGTTCAAAGAAAGGACAAAGCAAAATATTCAATATTAGGATATTGGCGTGTTGAACAAATGGATAAAAGCGTGTATTGATGTGCCGTCTCAATTAAGGGGCGCCTAATATGACAAAACGTTATGGCTTTCAAAGTCAATAATCGTTATCCCATATGACCAAAACTCCATTTAATTGCATTTAATTAAAGAGAGAAAAATATGAAAAGAAAGCTGCATGAGAAAATGAATAAAGAGACATTGTTAGGCAGATGTCATGATTATTTTCATAGTGATTAGACAAAAAGTTTAAACCCGACCTTTTCTACAAGCTACTATAGATATAAAAAGTTTGTTTGTATAATTATATATATAAAAAATAATAATACACTAACTAGCGGCATGAGTTGAGTAATATTAAAGTTAATTGTTTCAATGGTTACTGAACTAACGTTCATATTTTTGATTTGTTACTGAAATTTAAAATATAGAGTTTTGATCACTGATCTTATATTTATATTTTCGATTGTTTACTGAAATTTAAAATGTCGAGTTTTAGTCATTGAATTTTGAAAAATATTGTACATTATTTATTGTAAACTCGAAATTTTTTAAAGTTTAATATTTGTGTTAATGAATAACATACAACATTTTTCAAAATTCAGCATAAAGTTCGGCCAGTACAGCTACACTCTCATGCTTCTTGTTATGTATAAAAACCTACCTAAAAGTAGATATCTTCAAGTCTAAATTATCAAAACTTAAAATCATTGAAGCAAAATGATGTAGTCATTTATTACAAAAAAAGGGCCTCTATTTATGACTTTCACATTTGTACTTTATCTCTCTCTCTTCCTTATTGTCTTATCTACGTGAGTTTAACTATTACGTTCAAAATTCTACTAACTTTCGTAAATAACATTATGGCCCAATTTGATATTCATTAAATTAAATTACATTTTATTTTTCTCTTTCCTATTTTCAACCACACAATCTTTTATAAAATAATATTTCACTTAAATTGAAAAAATTTCCTTCTTTTTCAACCGTTCATTTAAAAAAAAAAAAACATTATTCCACCTATTTTCATCATCGAAAATGTGGGCCAAACAGGTATATGTCCAAATAATGTTTAATCAACCAAGGTATGATTGTTGCTATGTATAGGAGATATTTATGTTTTTTACTTTCATGGGTTAACTTGGCGTACTTGATCTTTCAAGGAGCAAATCATGATTAAATTGAAACTTCAAGGGCCAATTTGTTTTTTTCCCCTCATCCATGTGATATTAGATTATTTCCTTCTATTTTTCATACTTTTGTGACATAGATATGGGATCAAGTGAATAAAACTAGAAAGGATTAAGAAAGACAATGTCCATCGACATAAATTCATCATTAATGTATTCCTCTTCATGAAGACAAAATGCGCATTCATCTTTAAGTAGATTGGCATACTTTTGACAGCTATCCACCAATGCAGGTGAGTTTAGGTCCTCGACAATAAGCCCATGTTTCATATAGATTTTCTAAAACTAATTTTTAATCACACATTTTCAAAATAAAATGATTTTGCACGTGATTCATAATTTTTCGTACTCTTTGAACTAAACACTCTTTAAACAAACACTTTCTGTTACAAAATCTTTTATCTAATTATTTGCTTCATAGAGGCCCTTCGATAGCATTTCTACAGTTCACTCATTTCTATTTAAATACGTCGCTGATAATTTCACATCCAATGATGATGTTGCTAGTGCATTGAACAAAAACTGAAAGATCACGAGCTTTAAAAAACAAATAATAGGATGACGAGAAAGGGCGAAAAGTCGATTGCACATAATGGCCAACGGGAATGGAGTAGGGAGAAAGTTGCTAGGGAAGTGAGTGGCGCCGATTTAGGAGACGAGACTTAGGGTTTGAGAGCTACAATGCAACAGTCACATAGAGGGTTGGGGTTAAGTAGTTGCAAGAAAGATAACTAATTAACACGTGTTAACATGTATTTTTTCTCAAATGCATCAAAATATGAAAAGGTCAAGATAGACATTAAAAAAATAAAGATCAAGGACTAGGACGAGGACGAGGACGAGGACGAGGAAAACAATCATCTAAACATAATACATATAAACAAGATCTTCATATACCATCACTACTCTTTTATTGAAAGAAACATTTATGTCATCATTAATGTATTCATCTTCACAAAGTGCACATTTATATTTAGGTAGAATGGCATACCAACCCATCAGAGCCCTTGAGTTTAGGCAACATAAATTCCTGGTCAACATTTCATACAATTCACTCATTTCTATTTAAACACCTCCGTTGCCATCGTACCATTAAGTAATAACTATTGAAGTTGTTATAGACATGTAAAATGGATAAAGATTGAGGACTGTTGTAGCAATTTTCTCTAAATAACTCATTTACGGAAAGAAACATAGGTCTGTAACTTACAGCTGTCTGTAACTAATGAATCTAATAAAATGAATGAATGAATGAATTGTTATTTAATTATCATCACCTCCCGTATATGCGTGAGAGAAGAGAGAGAGAGAGATGGGTCCTTAAAGATTATGCCCAGAACCTAAACCGAAGCCTCAGCTCAAAGACGTAGCTTCGATTTGCAGAGAGAATACGGAGGACTTCTCTTAACAAAATCAAGAAAAGAAACACTGATATATAGATATATAGTGAGAAAGACACACAGTTATATAGATATGTATGTGTACATATAAAGAAAAATGATTATTCCATTCATATAATTCCAATCAAATCCTCGTTTTCTTTCTTCTTATCCAATATGTAAGTCCTCTTTATATTATGGTTGTTCTTTATTGTTTTTCTTTTCATTCCCTGTTATATTTGTTATCTGTGACGGTGTTTGTTTAAAACACAATTAGTAGATCTATTGTCAATATTTTAATAGTGTTATAGGAAGAACAATGCCAGTTTAAAGCTTTGATTTTGATTTATTATTTTTTACTAGTGCATGTTTTGATCTGAATTTAGGGATCTTGAAAAAGTTTGCTGCTTTTTTTGGATTTATGCATATTTAATTTGATCAAAAGTTATTTTATTGTGGTGATTTGAGGGTTCTTTTTTTTTTTTTAATATGGGCCGTTCTCATTATTGATGAATTTTATTGTTTGAGAAGTATTTTTGACCAATTTAATATTTTCATTAATTCCCATTTGATCCAATTAATAAATATTGCTGACTATGGATTATTGTGCATTATTGATGTAAAATTTATTCGTTTCTTGTAATAAATTCATTATATTAGGTTTTCTTTGATAATGGAACATTCACTCTGAAAATGGTGATGATGAACAAAGCTGAATGGTTGATAGATTCCATTTTTGTTTCTTGACTTTGATAAATAGATAAAACATTTTATATGCATCCAATGATTCTTTTTCTGCACTTTGACAAAATTCGTTTATTTTTCCCGGGATTTTGGGTCGTGAGTAATAATTCTTAGCAGTGGAGTGCAGTTCTCTGTGGAAGAAAGAAGAACTTTGATTTGGTTCGAGGCTAAGAACGAGACATGTTGGAAGACTGGCCTTGTTTGGTTTCAAGGGACTACCTGAGGACCTGCGAGCGAGAAAGCAACTGGCCTTGCATGAGTTATAAGGTGGAAAAAGTTCATCGGGGCAAGCGACTGTTAGAAACTAAAGGAGAAGAAGAAGGTGCTAGAAAGGCATCTAAGCGGTCGAGTGATCATTTGGGTACAGCTCTGTCAATTGGTGGAATTCTGATGCTAACTTCTAACCGATCTGGTAATCAGCGGCATGCACGGGACAACTCTGATTCTAGTTCCCTAATTCCTGCTATTGGTCCCGACAACTCCATTAATTGTCTTATTCGGTGCTCGAGATCTGATTACGGCGCTATTGCATCTTTGAACCGGAGCTTTCACTCTCTTATCAGAAGTGGTGAGCTCTATAAATTAAGGAGGAAAAATGGTGTTGTTGAGCACTGGGTTTATTTTTCTTGCCAACCGTTTGAATGGGAAGCCTTTGACCCAAGTCGTCGCCGTTGGATGCGATTACCAAGAATGGATCATAATCATTGTTTTGTCTTTTCCGATAAGGAATCTTTGGCTGTTGGCACCGAGCTTCTTGTTTTTGGGAAGGATCTTATGTCTCATACCATATATCGATACAGTTTGTTAACAAATTCGTGGTCATCTGGCATGAGCATGAACTCCCCTAGGTGTTTGTTTGGTTCGGCCAGCCTTGGTGGGAGGATAGAAAGAATCATCAAATTTTACTCAAGATTCAATTGAATATTTTCTTCCAGGTAGAGTCTTGAGTACATTCTTTAAAGTTAAACTAGTATTTTCTTTCTTTTTGAATTGTCAAATCCCATTCTAGCAACATAAGAATTTTCAAAGTTGGATGTCACAAAGGAAAGAGAGATTTCCAATAATTTCAAGTAGAAATTTGTTGGTAGGTTTCAGTTAGTGTTTTGGTGATGCTTTTCTTCAAAATTATAGAATTTACTCTCTTGGTTCGGGTCCTTAATTTTCTTGAAATTTTCTTGAAGATAGAAATGTCTTTAACATGTTTATTTCGAACATGGAACATGTAATAAATACAATTAGTGTTGCACTCGATGGGGCTATAAATTGATTCTTCCCGTTTGGTAACCCTTCGTAGTTTTATAGAAGTTTTTGTATGATATTATGCTTCATCTCTTTCTAACTATAAGTGTTTAAGACTTTCATTGCTTAACATGAATTGACCCTCTGATTGATTTCATTTATTTATATTTTGAGTTTCAAGTAATTCAAGGCTTCATGTGTAATTCGTCATTTGTATCTTGGGGGTCAAGATAGAGACCATGCTAAATTTGGCAAAGACAATATCTAGATAACAATAAAATAAACTTCATACTAGGGGAAATCAAATAATTTAAACGAAGTTTGTTTTCTTATTAAGTTACAGCTGAGATTGTAAGGGTCCTATGTCACTGTTTCTTTAACATCGACTCGGAATGACGACCAGCATTGGATTTTATAGTTTGCATGTATGTACAATCCATCAACTTGAAGTTTTGGTAGAATTCATAGATCTTGTTTAGTCTGTGTTTTGGATTTTTAATGCTGCTCATGACAGATTCATTCTTTTAGCTTAACATGGTCTCTATGGAAACTTACAAGTGTGAAAGTTCCCAACATGCACATACATTTGTTTAGGTATTCCTCTGTTTGCATTTCACACTTGCTCTCTTGTTCTCCTGCACGTTCCTTTATTGTTAAATAAATCAAGATGTTGAAGATGATTTTATTTTTACGCTTGCATTTTCTATGCCCGCAAAATGATATCATATGCAATTGTCAGATTTCAAACATATGTCTATGGGGGACTTGTGCTGGTTTTTTCCTATTTATTCCATGAATTTAGCTTATTTATCTCCGTCCGTAACTGTATTGAGCGCTTAGATATCATTTCTTCTGGTAATGTTGGTTTTTCATTCTTCGGTTTGCTTTTTGTTTCTATAGTTAATGTGTTAGTTGTTTGTGTAATGAGCACCGGTGCTCATTTTATACACGTGTCATGTCCTTCATTGGTGGATAATTGTATGGTGGTTCTCAACATTTGAATGTAATTTCCTATCCACCAACGGATTGATATGACACATCCCCGATGTTTAGTATAAGATGAGCGCTGGTGCTCATTAAATCATCTCTCTACATATATCATCAATGCAGACATGAAAATTACTTTGATAGACAGGCTTGAGCCGTGATGTTGATTGTTTTATAACTTGTGCATGTGCGATAGAATAATAGGCGCCATATACTATGTGCATAAGTTGCATCTATGTTTTATGAATACTAAAGTGTTTTACCTCTGATGATAATTAAGCTTTTGAGCAGTGGGCATAGGATTTTTAGAAGGCTTCTGTACTTTGTACTTTCTCATGCTTGAATAAGAGTCTTGGCATAACTTACACTCTTTATCTTCTATAATGCATTAAGTGCCTTACTCTTGTTTGTTTCTATATTCTCCTTTGTGGGTTGGTTAGTTAAGTTATTTGAGTGGCTTGGTTTGTGCATAACGCCTCTTTACGCTTTGTTAAATGATTTGGACCTGGTCGACTAGGGAGGCATTTGTTCACGACGTTTGGAACGTTGTCTGTAAATACATGACTAGGTAAGATACCATTCTTCTGGTTTCTTTGTGGTATGTGTTTCAGTTTTAATGTTTTTGAAAGAATATTGGATAAGTCGCGAGATCAAGTAGCTCGAACTTGTGTAACTTTCAAATCCACTGAAATTTACTGATTCTTGAATACCTGCAGTGATAGAATGGTAACATGCACAACATTACTCTTCAAGGTCAATGACACACACACGCCAAATTTCGTCGTGCTAGTTATTAAGTACTTTGTATATGCAGTCCTCACTTGAATGCATGCCCGTCTAATGTCATACATGAGAATATCGAGTGTATATTTGGTTCGATAAATTATACACGCGTGGATGGTATTAAAGAAAGAAATACGTGAAAGTATTTGTTAGTTGGTGTGTTTAGTGCGAAAGTCACTTATTTTCGCAAAATTCACCGAGTAGATGGACACAAGGGTAACTCTTAAACAATAGTGAATAGACCCCAATATGGGCCGTCAGCTTCTTTAAAATTTGGGCTGTTTCTAGACCAACACCAACCCAAATATATTATGAAAAGTGGAGATTAATGTAGGGAAAATTACTGGGAAACCGTCCTTTTAAATTCACATTTCAAATATCAAAATAAAAAAAAATTATATTTCAAAATTCAGGTGCTCTTACCCAGCTCCAAGGTGCCCCACGCACCTCACACCACCTCAACCCTATCCTTTAATTAAATTATTCTCAAATACATCTTCATTTCCCAGACCAATACCATTGTGGCTAAAAAAATCCTTCAATCTCCATTTCATTGAGATTCTGGGGATGACGACGACAAAAAATTCTGCAATTTTTTTCCCTCTTGAACCCATGGAATTTGATTAGAACTCTCAAACGAGAAAGTGAACCTGTTACTCTTCAGCTTGATAAATTGCCTTTAATTCTTGCTTGGACGAAATGTTGTAGAGGCAAAGGGGGATCTTCTCACCCTTTTTACTGTGGAGGTGGTGGCGATTTACTGTGGAAGTGTATGATTGTTTGTGACCAGATATATGATTATGCTGTGCAGATTTGTCGGTGATGTAAATTTGCAGTTGTTTTGATTTACATCTGAGAATGCTGTGGTCTAGTTGGTGTTTTTCGAAGATGTTGGTGGAAATTATGGTGGGGATGATTGTTGTTGTGGATTTGAGGTGAATTTAGTATTTATGATTGTCTATTTAAGTTAAAGGTGTTGATGGTGGTGTAATGGAAGTGATGGTGGTGATGAATAGTGGTGGATTGTGATATTGGTCCGAGGAGTGTGTAGATTTGTGGTGACCTCATGTGACCACGTATGTGTTTGTTGTGACTATTGGTTACATACAATTACAAATTAGATGGTCACATATTGTCATAGGAAAACAAACTTGATCACAAATAGTCACATAAAACACAAGTATAGTCATGAACAATAAATCTGGTTACAGATAAACTTTTGGAGGTTTTTCTACACTGGAGTAAAGAAAAATTGTTTTCAATTTTTGAAAAATTTTCTATTGCTGGAGTAGTCATTGGAGAGTTCGTCGGAGTAGTCGTTGGAATATTCACCGGAGAGGTTGTTGGAATTGTTGCTGGAGCTGTTGCCGTAGAAGTCGTTGGAGGTGAGGTGGGGTGGGGTGGAGAGAGAAAGAGAAGGGTTTTGATGTGATGGGTCGGTGGGTCGGTGGGTTGGAGGTGGGGTAAGTATATTAGATTAATTATAATATATTATAATTAAATATTTAATAAATGTAATAATCAACTGATATTTGAAAGATTTTTAAAAGTTTGTTAGTTTTAAAATGTGATTTTTAAATAAAAGATTTATGTGACGTTTTATAATGTATCTTCATTTTTTATTTTTCGATTTTTACCCTAGCTCTTAATAGCACTTTACAAAAATACCTCTTTTCTATTGTTTTTTAAATACTTAAAACTCAAAACACAAAACACCATAAATCAATATCTATTTCTTTGATCAATCTTTCTGTCGTGATAATTCTTCTAAGTAATGTTTGGCTTCTCTCTCTCTCTCTCTCTCTCTCTCTCTCTCTCTCTCTCTCTCTCTCTCTATATATATATATATATATATATATAGACAAACACGTGTGTGTGCGCGCGCAAATTTGTTGTAGGTGGTGGGATGAGTTTGTGTGATGAGATGGTTGTGGTGGATGTTGTGGTAGATCTGAACCTATCTATTGTGTTGATGATTAATATGTATATGATAACACAATATGTTACCCATGTCAAAATGTTTTTTTAATATTAAAATCATTGAAATATTAATTTTAGATGAAAATGTTGAAACGTTAATTTTAATTGAAAGAGGTGTTTCTGAAAAAATATAAAATGTAGCAAATTGTAATCAATAAAAATGAGGTTTTCCTTTTTAAATTGAGCACAGTAACACATGTTATCCTAATATGTAATTCGTAAAAAATGTTGATTTTTAATGAAAATTTTTAATTTTAATTAATAAAAAGGAGGTATATTCAAGAAAAATTAAAGGATTTAGATGTAAAATATTAATTTTTTATGCAAAAGAAGTATTTTTCAAAAAAAAAATTGTTAAATAAAGGTATATTTAAGCTTTCTGGACAAAATTAGGGTATTTGTAGCTACCCTTTAATGAAAATTCAAATAGATCAAAATGATACAATGAAAAGCAATGTTATGTTGTTCTACGGTATATTTCTGGTATAATACTAAAATAAATACATTCATGATATTCTTAAACTGGGTAAATAAATAGGAGACCCTATGGCTGGCTGGATACAAAAACAAATATATTTTTTAAATTGTCTATTTTGTTTAAATGTGAAAATATATTTAAAAAAAATTGCTATTTATACAATTTTTTGTACAGATGAATTTACAGATGTTGATATGTCAAAATTTAATTGGCTGGTTTTACTTTTTTTCTTTTTTTTTTATATCCAAAATCCAATGGAATCTTTCCAATTAACATACTGTACATGTAAATACAATGGCATATTGGCACTTGCCTGTGGACCATTTGTCCATATATCTTCATAGACCAACGGATGTTCATTGCTCATGATTGAATTTCATTCTGATATATTATTGGAAAACAAATTACTTACGACCTCTCAATAAAATAAAATAAAATAGAAAGAAATGGCTATGTTTGATACAACTTTTCTGTGGAAAATGGAAAAAAACTTCCATCTTCCACTTTTTTTGACGTTTGATAGGCAAAAAGTTCTAGGAAATTGGGTTTCCACTTTTCCTCCACGCGATCACATTTTCTCCCTTTTCATTGAATCGGTTTTCCCACCTATGTAGTGATTTTTTGAATTCCAACCTTTTTTGTTTTTTTGACAATGGGAACAAATTTTAGAAACAACTGTAAAAGATGATATCTTTAAAGTAAAAATTTTCATGTAAAACAAAACCAAGCGATTACATTAGGTCCGTTTGATTATAAGAATGGAATTTGGGTGGAAAGAAAACGAATTCGAGGAAATTGAATTGCCTAGAACTTGTTTTACTGGAAATTGACAATTAAATATATTTGATT